CACACCCTCTCTCTCTTGCCATTGCTCTCTAAATCTTTGAGACTTACTGACGTGTAATGGTATGTAAGTAAAATTATACTTCTCACAAGGGAGCATTATAATTTATTGCAGAGTGAGTTGGCTAAGAAGGCAACAAGCTTTTATGTGGCAGCCCTGGCATTCAGGGCAGCTGCTAGATATGCATCTCTGGCTAGCCAGCATAGGAAGAGTTGAGGTTTTTTTACCTGTAGGCTGCTCACAGTACACTGCTTTTCATTTGGACTACTTCTCTTAGGCCTCAGATATTTTCTTTCTCAGGCACTTGGAGAGCCTCTTAACCGTTTCGGGAGAAGGCATGTGTAACATCAGTGTCATAGAATCATAGAATCATAGAATCATTAAGGTTGTAAGAGACCTCCAAGATCATCGAGTCCAACCATCAACCCAACAACACCATGCCCACTAAACCATGTCATGAAATGGATAGAAAAGATGTACCTAGCACAAAGGCTCGGGTAGAAAAAGAGTATTCTACACTGCAATCATGTTACCTCAGAAGAACATCAGCAGAAACACTATCAACTCAGGAGCAGCTGATCTTTCTTCTGCATAGGTTTTCTGTAGACCTTACTAGCAAATTTGTCTAACTCTTCTCATATATGCAGGTTATATTTATTATATAATGCCATTTTTTGTAATTTCTGAATTTTCTATGTAAAATTCCAATCATTACTAAGTCGTTTTTTAACAAAATGGTTTTTTTAAATGAGCTGAGTAAAATTTTTGTGTGTAGATCATCTTTAACACAAAGTTCTGACTTTTTATATCATGTTATTGACACTGGTGGGGGGAGGGAGGGTTGGTAGCAACATTGCTAGTGATGTTATTCACTGCATGGTGCCATGTACACAAATTAAAAAGGTAGGCAATGAAGGATTTAGCAGAGGCGTTCCAGAAAATAAGCTGAAGGTCATTCCTTACTAGAACAACAGATTTTGAAATGCCTCTCTGATATGCTCCCTATTGAGCCTGATTCAAAACCTGCTAAAATACAGAGAAGAATTCTCATGATTTCAAAATGCTTTGAGTCAGGATTTCTCTGAACACAATGGCTCTTCTGAAAAGAAAGTCTGGTGTCTGCATCATGCAATAACTCTGTTTGCTCCCCCATTCAGAAAGAAAATCGGTCACAGATCCAGACCCAGTGTATGGGACCGTTCTCGCTAGGCACCCTGTAGTGAAGAGCAACTCATGTTCACCTGCTTGCTTACAGTCCCAATTATATTGATTATAATATTACAGAATTTAGCTGGTTCATTTTGCTTGCAAATGGTCAGAATATCAAGACAATTCTGACCAGTAACAGTGAATTTAACTGTTTATGTTACTTTTCCGCAAAGGCTTCTTTGGGGGAATACTGTGTTGTAAGAGAGGTAGGAGAAGTCTGTGGGTAAACGCTCTGCGTGTTTGTGAGTGGATGGTTATTTGTCTTAACTTTCTTGTCCTAACTGGAGATGACGGCTGCCCTTCGAGAAGAGGGCGCTTTGCTCCTGAAGATACTGCTGGGCTGGGTTGTTTATTTTTCTTTCCTGTGGTTGAGGATTCTAAGGCATAAAACAATGATGTAGCTGCTGCGGTTATTAAGGATCATGTAGTGTATGGAGGGTTGTTTTTTGTTTCTTTGCAAGTCAACCCATTAACGTCTGGCAAATTCTAACTATCGTGCTGAACTGATATGCCCTGCTGTTTCAATTACAAATGTATAGTTTCTAAGCTGTTTCATATTATCAGCCCCTTCTTAACTTCACAAATGTTCACATCCTGTTACCAGACTCTTCCTGAAGCAAACACTGCGGTGACTTGCACAAAAAAAAGGTGTATCTGCATTAGGAAGGTGAAAATAAATTAATCTGCTGGGAACAGTATCACAGGTATAGTTTCCCTTTTCCCCTCATTGGTCTCTATCTCTACAGTTTATTCTCTTTTCTTGCCACACTTTCCAGTTCGAGTTACTTGTATGCGAATACCACTACAGTAAAAACGTATAAAGCCAGCGCTTTGAGAGGGAATCTTCTGTTTGCGCAGGGAAAGCTTTAGGTCCTTCTAACATCTGTAAGCAGTGTTTCTGCTGTTGAGTAACAGTTTTCTACTGACTGAAAGGAACTTCTGCAGGTCTTAAAATAGACTAAAAATGGACCTTACGTTTGGGCACATTGATCCCCTGTAGTCCTCTTGACCCCTGCTCTCAAGTATTGTATCCAGATAGTCTGCATGTTGCTTTTACTGGTGGCACTGTTTAATAGCACTTGATTGACTGCAAAAGAATCCATCTTTTGTGGTAAAAAGTAGGTTACAAATGCTTTGATGATGATTTGTGTATGATTTGATGTTTATGTCCAGTTGTGGATTCTGTTTGTTAGGTGTTCAGATCGTGTGGCTGTTATATCTGTTGTGTTTTGCTTTCCTTCTGAACCACCAAAGGTGATGGGAGAAATTCCTCCATTCTAATAAGAAAAGATCATTAAAGCTTGATTAACTGTTTTAGTGGAATATTGAGGGAGATGGTTACTGCCCCGGGCAAACTGGTCTTCTCGTTCTGATCCCCAGGAGAGTGGTCATCAAACAAAAGTATCTGAGGAACATCTGATGAAGGTGGTCATGTGTCAGGGCTCACCTGACAGAGAAAACAGGAAGCTTAAGAAGAATAATAAAGATTTTTCTCTTTGAGAGAGGAGGTGAACGGGGGGGAGGTGTGTGCATAGTAGATCTTCTGTAATCCAGGAGAAGAGATGTAAGCTCTAGGAGGGGAACTTGGGATGCCCTTCACAACTCTGAACTGAAGCCTGAAGAACACTACAGTGGTAAGAAAAGTGAACTGGGAAATGCTTAAACATATTGAATATTTTTCTTACATCTGTGGTATCTTTAGGCTAGCTAAAGAATAAAAAAAAAAAAAGTTCTCTTTCAGAACCCTAATAACTCCTGTATTTCTGATTTTGCTTCGCCTATTGCATACCTGCCTAAAGAGGTGAATTGCAAATCTGTAATGCTTCCAAAATGGGGACTCTTGGAGAGGATGTGCTTAGACTACTTGGTAGCCTCAGGTTCATTGCTGGTCCTGAGACAGAAGATCTAATCCAGCTAGCCCAGAGCCTATTTGCACTGTCGGGAGATGTGAAAGAATACCTGATCTGGAACGTTAGGAGGAGGAATTTGTTCAGGGAAACATCCTGGGGCAAATGGCTACAAGAGCATCAGCTTTTTGTTGGTACCTGTGCTCTAGAGAGTGCTTCGGGTGAGCCTTTGCTATTCAAGAAAATAGTAATAAATTCTACATAGTGCTCTAAAGCAGAGACCAGCAAAAATTGACACGGCAGAAGCGAGCACCTTCAGGAGAATCGTGCTGCCAATTGCAGGAAGGGAGGTTTTGTTCCCAGAGTTGCATGGCTTCGCTAAGCCTGACCTACTCTTGTTCCGAGATGACAACTTTAAGCATAAGAGATGCCCCGGGTGACATCGCTCATTTATAAAACTCCCTTTTGTTGGATCAAATTTAACGTGGTCTCCTGTTTCGAATTATCTCTTTGATTAGCTGGAAAGTTTTGATGTCTGCAGGAGAAGAACAATTGCATCAGTGTGCACTGTCAGCCGGGACTTGTGGCTGCTGTGGAGTTGCTAGGATACCTCTCTAAAAGGTACGATTCACTTGATTAACCACCAACCCAGTTTGCATGAGAAATATTTTTCCTATCTTGTTTTGTGCTGGCATCAACTGTGCATCAGATGTGCATGTGTGTTTAGCGCAAGCTACAGGTTGATTGTCATGTGGGTCTTCTGCCTGCTTTTGATATGAAAAAAACCTCGCTGCTCCATAGCAAAGAATCCAGAGCAATTATAGTAGCAATTCCAGTAATCTGTAAAATGAGCATTGCTTCCAGCGGGGAACATCAACCATAGAACACCAAGGGAAGGTTTGACTCTGGGTACGCATTTCTGGCGTGTGGCTAAGGCTTAACTTTCTATCTGTGAAGATGCAAGGGAATTTTTCATCTCCTATGTATTATGTTCTTTCCCCGCTCTGAGCAGGGGCTTGGACCAGATGACCCACCGAGGTCCCAGCCGAAGCTATTCTATGATTCTGTCATCCTTGCCACATCCCACTAGTATTAATGCTCCCTTCCAGCAGAAATCCTTTGCACAAAGCTCCTTCATGCTACTTGCACAAAGTTGCCTCAGACACCTCCTGTGTGTCCATATGTTCTTGAGTATGACAGCATTGTATTCAGGACACAAATCCTAACTCAACTCTCTCTCTCCACAATAGCTGGTTTGTGCATGCACATCCTTCCAATACCCTTTTTTCTCCATCTTCCTGTTTCCTGAAACATTTTGTTCAAACTTTGTCTTCAGGACCTTTTGGTGTCATTTCTGTGAATCTTCCCGTGTCCCACAACCCTCTTTTTTCTCTTTCCATCTTGCTGCTTCCACTGTGTCTTTCTTCTTGATGGACCATCATTCATTCATTCTGTCCGAACAGCCTTCTGCTTTTTGTCCCCTAAGCACCACAGTTATCTTCCCCCTAAGTTCCCTTTATCTTCCCTCCTCTCCCACAGTTTCTTTCCTCACTGGAGCTCCCTACCAGCTCTGTTGTGTTATGTTTCTTGTCACCTGTGGGTGGAAGT